AAAGAGGGTGGGTCCTAAGACTGAGCCTTGTGGTACACCATTGTTGAATGTTAAATAACTGGAGGAAGTACCATTATGTTGAACACATTGCCTCCGGTCTGAAAGATAGTTAGAGAACCAACCAATGGTGTGTTCTGAGAAACCAATTTCTGAGAGTTTATGACACAAGATGTTCTGATCCACAGTGTCAAAAGCTGTGGATCAGAACATCTTGTGTCATAAACTCTCAGACATGTATGAGGACAGCAGGACATGTATGAGGACAGCATGACAGTGGTGAGATGTGCTGTAGGAGTGACAGATAGCTTCAAGGTGGAGGTGGGAGTGCATCAAGGATCGGCTCTGAGCCCCGTCTTGTTTGCTCTGGTGATGAACCGACTAACAGATGAGGTCAGACAGGAATCTCTGTGGACTATGATGTTTGCAGATGACGTGATCTGTGGTAAGAACAGGGAACAGGTGGAAGAGAACTTGGAGAGGTGGAGGTATGCACTTGAAAGAAGAGGAATGAAAGTCAGCCGTAGTAAGACAGAGTCCATGTGTGTGAATGAGAGGGAGGAGGTGGAACAGTGAGGCTACAAGGAGCAGAGGTCACAAAGGTGCAGGACTTCAAGGACTTGGGGTCCACTGTCCAGGAACATGGGGAGTGTGGTGAAGAGGTGAAGAAGAGAGTCCAGGCAGGATGGAGTGATGGAGAAAAGTTTCAGGAGTGATTTGTGACAAAAGGGTGTCAGCAAAGGTGAAAGGAAAAGTTTACAAAACAGTGGTGAGACCAGCTATGTTGTATGGTCTGGAGACAGAGACATGGACAAAAAGACAGGAGACAGAAATGGAAGTGGCAGAAATTAAGATGTTGAGGTTCTTCTTAGGAGAGACAAGGATGGAGAAGATCAGGAATGAGATCATCAGAGGTACAGCACAGGTTGAACAACTGGGAGATAAAGTTAGAGAGGACACACTGAGATGGTTTGGACATGTCCAGAGGATGGGCAGTGGTTTGGACATGTCCAGAGGAGGGACAGTGGTTTGGACATGTCCAGAGGAGGGACAGTGGGTATACTGGTAGAAGGATGTTAGAAATGCAGCTGCAGGAAAAAGACAAAGAGGAGATATATGGATGCAGTTAGAGAGGACATGGAGGTAGATGGAGTGAGGACAGAGGACACAGAGGACAGAGTGAGATGGAGGAGGAGGACTTGCTGTGGAGACCCCTGAAGAGGGAAAAGCTGAAAGAAGAAGAAGCAGAGAATAAATAATTAAATACTTAATGTTCTGATCAGTTAATTACTTTTTTAGGTCAAGGTTCTTTATTGTCATTCACATCACATGTGGTACATGAGGTGGAATGAAACTATGTACACAGAGTCCCAGCTACATCCAACAAAAGTACAAATTGTAAAGAAAAACATTAACAAGATTTAAGATATGAACTAAGAAATACACTAAACTAAGAATACACCAAGCACTGATAGTACAAAACAATGTGCCAACAACAGCAGCACGAACAAAAGTGAGCAGATGAGGACAAATGAACACAACATGAAATAGATCAGCAGCATGAGATCAGCAGCATGGCTAATTATTTTAATCTTATATTAATTATCTCAACATCTTATTTTCAAGATGTCTTATTTATCTTATCTTATTTTCAGATGTCAAGATTATAATCAACATCTTATTTTAATAAACAGTAGCCTTTAAAGGAGGAGCTTATTTATAAGACTAGAGCATGCTAAAAGTCTGAACTTTTTAACATGAAGGTGATTATTAATTATTTAATGTAATAAAATCAATAAGAAAGTCTTGTCTTTGACTTCAAATTTCTGTTTGGGATTATTTTTGCATTTGAAACTGAAGCAGGATCAGAAAAAACAATGAAACAGTGGATCATGACGTTTTCACGTCATTTTGAGTTTTTTTCCTTAAATCTCTTTCACTCACGCCGCGCTGCTCATTCACACTCGCACGGCTCGGTCGGTCGCTCACGGGTTTGTACGGCCTTCTTTTGTCCACTACGGCCAATCATACAATGGCAGCAAATGGAGCAGGACGGATGGAGTAGGCCTCAGGCTGTGGAGTAGGGAAGGTGGTTTGAGTGAGGCTTGGGCACCAAGATAGTCCAACTGAGCTTCAGCAAACACCAGAGACTTTAAAATGGTGCTACTCAGCAAACAGCTCCAGCTTGAAGAAAGGCCCATCTTCAGTTATTCATTACTTTTGATTTTAGTATTACCATTAAGCATATGCATAGAGCACAAAATAACATTAAAAATTGATTGAAAAAATAAATAAAAAGTGAATTTAAAAACAAAAGTTAAGAAGATAAAAGAAGAAGCTCAGAGCAAACAATTGACATGCTGCCACCTTGGATTCAACCACACCCCACGTGTTTCATGCATGAATCCTCTGTTAATGATGACTGATGGTTTCAGATGGGTGCGCTCTGTTTGAACGTGTTAAAAGCTGCTTCTGAGATTCCAACAGGAGGTTGGCTTGAAACACAGCAATGAAGGCTACCTATGGGACAGATCTGGTCGGCAGGCTGTAGACTGACAAAGTCCTCTGGATGGGAAATGAAACATTTCTTGACTTAAAGAAACAGGTCCAGATGACACAATTGAACCATTTTTGTTGTTTTCTACCTGGATGATTGAGCTTACAAAACTTTTTTTTATTACTTAAGACCAATAAAAAGGATTTTTAGAAATGTTGGCCAAGTGAAAAGTACGAACATGAAAAGTCTGATCATGTTCAGCATCGATACTTAGTTGTTGCTCCTTTTGTCTGGATTACTGCATCAATGCATCGTGGCACGGACTGGATCAGTGTGTGGAACTGCTCAGGTTCTGACAGTCCAGGTTGTTCTGATCGTGGCCTTCAGCTCTTCTCAATTGTTGGCTCTGGTGTGTCACATCTTCCTCTTCACAACACTCCATAGATTTTTTATGGAGTTAAGGGCAGGCCAGTTTACTGGCCAGTTAAGAACAGGGATACCAATTTCAATTCAGTTCAATTCAGTTTATTTATATAGCGCCAAATCACAACAAAGTTTTCTCAGGGCACTTTACAGGAACATTCACATACATAGAAAGGCCAATTAGTAAGGTTTTCTTTTGAAGGATGCCATGGTCCTTAAACCAGGTGCTGGTAGCTTTGGCACTGTGTGCAGGGGCCAAGTCCTGTTGGAAAATGAAATCTGCATCTCAATAAAGTTGGTCAGCAGCAGGAAGCAGGAAGTCTCTAAAACTTCCTGGTAGATGCTGCATTGACCTTGGACCTCAGAAAACACAGTGGACCAACACCAGCAGATGACATGGCAACCTAAACCATCACTGACTGTGGAAACTTGACACTGGACCTGAAGAAACATGGATTCTGTGCCTCTCCTCTTCCTCCAGACTCTGGGACCTTGATTTCCAAAGGAAATGCAAAAATGTTCTTTCATCAGAGAACAGAACTTTGGACCACTCAGCATCAGTCCCAGGCGAGACGCTTCTGACGCTGTCTCTTGTTCAACAGTGCTTGACACAAGGAATGTGACAGCTGAAACCCATGTCCTGCATACGTCTGTGTGTGGTGGTTCTTGAAGCACTGACTCCAGCTGCAGTCCACTCTTTTTGAATCTCCCCCACATTTTGGAGTGGGTTTTGTTTCGCCATCCTCTCCAGGGTGCAGTTATCCTTATTGCTTGTACAGTTTTTTCCTACCACATCGTTTCTTGTCTAACGTGCTTGGACACAGAGCTCTGTGAACAGCCAGCCTCTTTAGCCATGACCTTTTGTGTCTTGCCCTCCTTGTGCAAGGTGTCAATTCAATTCAGTTTATTTATAAAGCACCAAATCACAACAAAGTTGTCTCAGGGACTTTACAGGAACATTCACATAAAAGCCAGTTAGTAAAGTTCTATATCTAAGGAATCCAGCATACAAGTTGAATCTTGGCTTCGTTGCAGTCTCCCATCCTGAGCAAGCACAGTGGAGACAGTGGAAAGAAAAACTCCCTTTAACAGGAAGAAACCTCCAGCAGAACCAGCTCAGGACAAGAGACCATCTGCTTTGACCGGCTGGTTGAGAGGACAGGAAGGAGAGACAGACAAACACAGAATGGTAGGTCCAGGTCCAGGTATAGATCCAGGTCCAGATATAGGTCCATGTCCAGATACAGGTCCAGGTCCAGGTATAGGTCCATGTCCAGATATAGGTCCAGGTCCAGGTATAGGTCCAGGTCCAGGTATAGGTCCAGGTGTATCTGAAAGACAAAAAAAAAACACATGTTAATGATAGAAAAAAAAATTACAAATACAAAACAGGTTGAGCAGAGTAAGTAAAGACAGCAGCAGAGTGAAAAGTGTGGTCAGTTTGTCCTCCAGCAGTCTAAGCCTGTAGCAGCAGGACTAAGGGACAGCTCAGGAAACCCAAGCCAACCCTAACTATAGGATTTAGCAAAAATGAAAGTCTTAAGCCTAGTTTTAAAACTGGACAATGTGTCAGCCTCATGGACAGAAACTGGAAGTTGGTTCAGTGGTCGTCTTTTGGACAACTGTCCAGTCAGCAGTCTTCCCCATGACTGTGTAGCTACAGAACTGGACTGAGACCATTTAAAGGTCTTTGCAGGTGTTTGGAGTTAATTATCTGATCAGAGTGTGGCACCAGGTGTCTTCAATATTGAACCTTTTCACAATATTCTAATTTTCTGAGATACTGAATTTGAAGTTTTCATTAGTTGTCAGTTATAATCATGAACATTAAAAGAAATAAACATTTAAAATATATCAGTCTGTGTGTGATGAATGAATATAATATACAAGTTTCACTTTTTGAATGGAATTAATGAAATCAACTTTTTCGTCATATTCTTATTTTTTGGCTGTGCAGGTGGATGGGTTTGAGGCAATTTTCTCAAATTTGATTGAATAGTAAAGACTGTCTGAGTCAGAATCATAAAAACCAAGTACATAGACATGTTTTTATTCCATTTGACCTTCTCTGCCTCCCCACCAGGCTAAACTGGGGAACAGCTGGGTTAGTCCCAACGTGGGACACCTCATCCTGAAGTATCTGTGTCCAGCACTGCGTGACATCCTGCAGGATGGTCTGAAGGCCTATGTGCTGGATCTGATCATCGGACAGCGCCGCTGTCGGCCCTGGAGCATTGTGGAGGCGTCAACACAGCTGGGTGAGACATGATGAAGATCTCAGAGGACAAATACAGTTTCTAATTAAAGCTTGTACACAAATGTTTGAGAGGGTTAATTTATGTGAGGAAACACCTAAATCTGTCCCTGTCCCCAATCAGGCCCGTCCACTCGTGTCCTCCACTGCTTGCTGTCAAAGGTGAGCCAGTTCTCGGAGCTCACAAACCACAGCATGAGGCTGAACGCTTTCATCTTCGGCCTTCTCAAGTGAGTCACGTTTCTTTTCTTCATCACTGCTTCCTGTTTCAAGATAAAGTCAAGATCATTTTAAACATTTTTCTGTTTTATTGTTGGTGTTTTATCTCAGCTCGATTTGTAAATCTAACATTTTTGGTGATTTTAAACTCAGAAACATTAAGGAGCTGTTGTGAGGTCGACTGAACAGTTCAGCAGGAGATCTTTTATAAACCTCCTAAACTACCGGGAAATGTTGCAGTTCCTAAAAGGAGCTAAAATCCAGGAGGAGTAGTGTGGCTCTGCAGTAACACTTTTTAAATATTTGAACACAGCAAGAACTACATGAATTACTTCACATCTTTTCTGTAGACTTCATGTAGCTGCAGTATTTACCATCTCTAGAGTGATCCTATTCTTCATTCCTCCGTATGTTTGTCGACAACTTTCTCATCAACAAAGTTCATGCTTAATCATCCAGGTATCAAAATCAGAATCAGAATGCCTTTATTGTCATTATACACAAGTACAATGAAATTAAGAGCCACTCCTTTTTTCAGTGCAAAAACATGCTTAAGAAAAACACACACTAAACACTAACACACACTAAAAATATAAAAAATGTAACACAATATAGATATAATAGCACTATGAAAGTTAAAAAATACAAGTATTTCACAATTGTATTGCACATTATGGATATTAGTGAGGTAGTTGAGGTGACTGAGAGTATGAAATGTCAGTAGTATTGCACAGTAGAAGTCCAGGTGTTTGGGAAGTTAGATTATTAAATCAGTGCATGTGTGAGTTCAGTGTGGTGATGGCTTTCAGGAAAAAACTGTTCTTGAACCTGTTTCTTCTTGTTCTGATGCACCTGTAGCGCTTCCCTGAAGGTAGCAAGTCAAACAGTTCAAAACCCGGGTGTGAACAGTCCTTGATTATGCTTTCTGCTCTGTTGAGGCAGCGTGATGTGTAAATGTCCATCAGGGAGGGGAGAGGGCAGCCAATTATCTTTTGTGCTGTTTTGACCACTCTCTGAAGCCTCTCCCTGTCAGCCAGGGTGCAGCTGCCGGACCATACTGAGATACAGTATGTCGGCAGGCTCTCGATGGACGAGCGGTAGAAGGTCAGCAGCAGTTTTGTGTTCAGGTTGTGCTTCTTAAGGACTCTTAAGAAGTGTAGTCTCTGCTGAGCCTTCTTGATGACCGCTGTGGTGTTCTCTTTCCAGTTTAGGTCAGCAGAGATATGGACACCAAGAAATCTGAAAGTGTGAACCCTCTCCATGCACTTGCCATTGATGTAAAGGGGGGCTAGGTTGGTGCTGTGCTTCCTGAAATCAATAATTACCTCCTTGGTTTTTTTGATATTCAGAGCCAGATTTTTCTCTGAGCACCAGGTTGCTAGCTCCAGGACCTCCTGTCTGTAAAATGTCTCATCTCCCCTTGAGATTAGTCCGACCACTGTGGTGTCATCAGCGAACTTGACGATGAGGTTGTTGTTGTGGGCTGGGCTGCAGTCATGGGTGTAGAGACAGTACAGCAGGGGGCTCAGCACACAGCCCTGTGGGGAGCCAGTACTCAGCGTACGTGTGGAGGAGAGGTGGGGACCAAGTCTTACAGATTGGGGCCGATTGGTTAGGAAGTCTTTTATCCAGGCACGTGTGGGGGGGGGGGGGGGGGGCGAGATTGTCCAATATATTTATAAGAATGTCCGGAATGATTGTGTTAAAGGCCGAGCTGTAATCCACATAGAGCATTCGAACGTAGCTGTGCTGTTGTTCCAGGTGGCTCAGTGCGGTGTGGAGAGCTACTGCAGTAGCATCCTCTGTGGACCTGTTGGTGCGATATGCAAACTGATAGGGGTCAAAGTTCGGAGGGAGATAGTCCTTGATGTGCTGGAGAACCACTCTCTCGAAGCACTTCATGATTATCGGAGTGAGAGCCACCGGTCGGTAATCATTCAGGCTGGTGATGGTAGGCGTTTTCGGCACTGGGATGATGGTTGCAGATTTTAAGCAGGGAGGGATGACTGCCTGGGCCAGGGAGAGATTGAAAATTCTGGTGAAGGTGGGGGTGAGCTGGAGGGCACATGCTTTGGGCACCCTGCCAGGTACTCCATCTGGGCCAGTAGCTTTCCTGGGGTTCACTGATTGGAGCGAACGTCTAACATCATGCTCCCGTACAGTGAGTGGAGTGGTGCAGTAACCGGGTGGGTGTGGGGGCACAGCAGGATCAAATGGGTGCTACTGTGGTGCTTCAAAGCGTGCAAAGAAGCAGTTTAGCTCCTCTGCTAGTGATGCACTCAGGTCTCCTGTTGTCACCTCACAGCCTCTATAGTTTGTGATGTTTTTTATGCCCTTCCACACCTCCCGTGAGTTGTTACTGGACAGATGGGACTCTATATTCCTTTTATGGTCAGCCTTTGCAGTTTTTATTCCCTTATTCAGGTTGGCTCGAGCAGCTCGGTACAGAGCTCTGTCACCTGACCTGAAGGCAGCATCACGGGCTCTGAGGAGGGTGCGGACCTGGCTGGTCATCCATGGTTTCTGGTTGGGGTAAACCCAAATGTTTTTGACCATAGTCACATTTCCAATGCAGAACTTGATGTAGTCCAGTACTGTTCCTGTGTATGTTTCCATCTCTTGATGTTCAAATAAGTCCCAGTTTGTTTGTTCAAAACAGTCCTGTAGGTCATTGAGTGCATTACAGGCCAGATTGTAACAGTTTTTGTTGTAGGCCTCGCTCTGCGTCTGAGGGGGGTGTAAGCTGGGGGGAGCAGGAGGGAAAGATGGTCTGACTGCCCGGGGTGGGGGAGGGGTATGGCTCTGTATGCATGTTTAATGTTCGAGTAAATATGATCCAGAGTGTTCTCCCCTCTAGTAGAACACTTAACATGCTGGTAGAATTTTGGGAGTACAGTCTTCAGATTTGCCCTATTGAAATCTCCTGCAATTAAATGAACACCGTCGGGGTGAGCCCGCTGCTGTTCATTGATGGTGTTCAGCAGGAGAGAGAGCGCCGTATTTACATTTTCGTTGGGTGTTATATACACTGCAGTAATTGTCACAACTGTTAGCTCTCTCGGTAGAAAAAAAGGTCGGCATCTCACGGACATGTACTCAAGGTCTGGGGAACAGTGATTGTCTATAGTTGTCCCGTTGTTCCACCAGTTCTCCTGCACATAAATACAGAGCCCCCCACCTCTGCTCTTAACGGAGTCCGCAGTCCTGTCCCAGCGTAGCAGAGAGCGGCCTGCTAGCTGTATGCTAGCATCGGGTATCCCGAGGTGAAGCCAGGTTTCGGTGATAATCAGAACACAGCAGTCACGAACATAGCGATTTCCAGCGGGTTGTAATTCCAAATAATCCGTTTTATGCACCAGGGATCTGGCATTGGAGAGATAAAGGCTCGGTAGAGGTGGCTTATGAGGTTGTGATCTTAGCATAACGCCAGACCTGCAGCCTCGCTTCTGCTTCCTCTCCCTTCTCCGTCTGCACCGCCTCCCAGGCCCGACAACAATCCACGGAGATCCCGGTGATCTCGCTATGTCGTCTGGGATGTTGTGCATGTAAAGAAAGTCACTCGAAACAGGTATTTGGTGCTGCTCACCGATGTCCAAAAGGGTCTGACGTCCATAGTTGATGCTTGCAAACTCGGCAATGCAAACACAAGAATAAAGGACATACAAAAATAACATTAAAAAGCACTGAAAGGGAGAGCTGTATCAAATCCAATAATTCTCTGTCAGGTACCATACCATCCATCCATCCATTTTCTTCCGCTTATCTGGGGTCGGGTCGTGGAGGTAGCAGCCTAAGTAGGGAGGCCCAGACTTCCCTCTCCCCAGCCACTTGGGCCAGCTCTTCCGGGGGAATCCCTAGGCGTTCCCAGGCCAGCCGAGAAACATAGTCCCTCCAGCGTGTCCTGGGTCTTCCTCTGAGCCTCGTTCCGGTGGGACGTGTCCGGAACACCTCACCAGGCAGGCGTCCAGGAGGCATCCTAAACAGATGCCCAAGCCACCTCAACAGGCTCCTCTCGATGTGGAGAAGCAGCGGCTTTACTCTGAGTCCCTCCCGGATAATCGAGCTTCTCACCCTATCTCTAAGGGAGAGCCCAGACACCCTGTGGAGAAAACTCATTTCGGCCGCTTGTATCTGAGATCTCATTCTTTCGGTCACAACCCAAAGCTCGTGACCATAGATGAGGGTAAGAATGTAGATTGATCGGTAAATTGAGAGCTTTGCCTTTTGACTCAGCTCTCTCTTCACCACGACAGACCTGTACAGCGCCTGCTTCAATGCAGACGCTGCACCTGTACGCCTATCGATCTCACGCTCCATTTTCCCTCATTCGTGAACAAGACCCCAAGATACTTGAACTCCTCCACTTGGGGTAGGACCTCCTCCCTGACCCAGAGAGGGCACTCTACCCTTTTCCGGCTCAAGACCATGGCCTCGGATTTGGAGGAACTGATCCTCATCCTGGCCGCATCGCATTCGACTGCGAACCGCTCCAGCGAAAGCTGTAGATCACGATCTGATGAAGCCAATAAGACCACATCATCTGCAAAAAGCAGAGACGCAATCCTAAGGCCACCAAAACGGATCCCCTCAACACCTTGGCTGCGCCTAGAAATTCTGTCCATAAAAGTTATGAACAGAATCGGTGACAAAGGGCAACCTTGGCGGAGTCCAACTCTCACCGGGAACAAGCCCGACTTACTGCCGGCGATGCGGACCAGGCTCTGACACCAGTCATACAGGGACCTAACAGCCCGTATCAAAGGGCCCAGTACCCCATACTCCCAGAGTATCCCCCACAGGGTTCCCCGAGGGACGCGGTCGAACGCCCTCTCCAAGTCCACAAAGCACATGTAGACCGGTTGGGCAAACTCCCACGCACCCTCTAGGACCCTGCTGAGAGTGTAGAGCTGGTCCAGTGTTCCACGTCCAGGACGAAAACCGCACTGCTCCTCCTGAATCCGAGGTTCGACTATCCAACGGACCCTCCTCTCCAGAACCCCTGAATAGACCT